TCAGAGACAAGCTCTGGAGGCTAAAAGATCCGATGGACCCAGTTAAACAAAATAATATAATTTACAAAATACCTTGCAATGACTGTGAGGTCAACTACATAGGTCAAACTAGTAGATCGGGGGTAGTCAGATTGTCAGAACATAAGAATTTAGCTAAGGTAAGAATGGTTGACCCCGAGAAGATGAGTAATTTAGAAAACAGATCAGCAATTGCACTTCACGCATTAACACACAACCACACAATATGAGGAGACAGAGCCAAGATTCTAAAAAGTAATGTAAGTAGGTGATAAGAGAGATTGATTACTAAATCCTGTCTGCTTCATCGAGTCTACACCTAACACAGGCAACAGAAATGTCTCAACGCAAATACCAGAGATATGGAAGATATTTTTATCAGTCAAATCGGAGAATAATTAATAATAATAATAGATAATCTTAAAATTCTATTTCAATTCAAGCACACCATAACATTCTAACAAGTTACTTATTATGACTATAAAAACACTCGTCTCATTTCCCATCTGATTGTAATTGATCAGTAACACTCATATTATTGTTATTTCTGAATGTACATTATCCTATACTGAATTTTATTCCAATATCTAATTGATTCCACTCATGTATATAAATGAAGGAAAAAAGTTGTGTGAGTATTGCCTTGATATGATTATGAGTGGCAATAAATTGTGCTCGAAATGTGGTCATCAGTTAATATTACTGTACAAAACTGTGTGATGTTATCAAAATAAAATCTTATCCATAATGGAGTACACTCTATCACAGTGCCCAAGTTTTGTGCTTATATCAATTAAGAAACGGTTGGTAGGACTTCCAAGGGTGACATGGAGGAGATCGTGTGAAGAAGAGATGAGAGGTAATAGGTAGTCGTGAAACCAGCCAAAGAGGACTGCACAGAACAGGATAAAGTGGAGATGTACTGGTGAAGTCCCACATTCCACTCGGAACCGAAGTGAATAATAATAATAATGGGTTAAGAGAATAGACATAGATCAAGTTGAAAGCCTATATTGAAGAAAAAAATAACAATGGAGATCAATAAACCAAAGAAGGGGAATAACAGTCCCACTCACTGCCCTAGCATCAAAACAAAGCTTACCAAGAAAAGTGTAATGTGATATGAAAGTGGTTTAAACATTCTAATTGCTGGAGCTTCCACAATCTTTAGGATATGCGTCAAAAACACCAATTTTATGCCCTATCTATATAATATATATATATATATATATTTGGCAACAGAAGACCTAGGTTATCTGTTTCCACCAATAATGGTGGGTTAAGGGGGTTCAATTCGGTTCTGAAGCCATTTATTAATACACCTTGAAGCCCTTCTTTTTTTTAAAGGTCGATGAGTCCTCCCCAGATGTGTTTAAGCACAAGTATACTTAAATCGATAGATACAATGGGATGTGACACCGTTTTTATACATGTTCCTGTGAAGGAATATACACATTTGATCATAGGGAATAAAAAGACAGTTGCAGCAAAGAAAATTTGTAAAATTAAGACATCTGGACTTAGCTGAGGCACTAGCCATTCAAAAGCTCAAACACACGCTATGTATCCAAAAGAAATACGTCCAACCCTTGTCCCTGCCATGGCCATCATAAACAGGTAATTCTTTTAGTAATGACCATCCCATTGCCTTTCTTATCCAAACTTCCTGTTTATTCGTGTTATTTTGAAGTTTTTCTTAATCCCTCCACTATTTACACTACCATATTTTCATATCCGAGCTTCCTGTCTGTTTTGTCATTTTACTATTTCTATATATTTAATCCTTGATTGCATAAACAATAATTTGTCACATTAGTTATGATCCCACTAGATGTTTTATCCAAACATCCTGTATATTTTTGTTATTTGTACATTTCTAACCCTCAGTTGCACGATATGTCAATCTTCTCAGTAGTTATGATGCTACTTTGTTTTAGTTTTATCCGGCCCCCTCAGCATGTTTATTATGGCATTTTAATTCCTAATTATAATTCTATTAATCTGACCCTTGACCGAAAATTATTCTGGAACTTTTCTACCTTTTCATTATAAATACACGAATATACAGCCTAGTTGACGGTGACTTCGTTGAAAAGAAAATTTTCTTCTTTGCAACTGTCTTTTTATTCCCAATATTCCTATGACAAGTATGTGGGACATAAGACTGTCAAAATATGTTGCACAAATACACATAACATAAATCAGATAAATTACAACTTATTGTTTTCCATTATAGATAAGATTTTATTTTGATAGAGTCTCACAGTGTTATACAGTAATATTTACTGATGGCGTTTCGAGCACAATTTATTGCTCATAATCATATCAAGGTAATCACACTGTAACAACAGAAGATAAGGGCCAGGCAACAGAACGTTTATTACGGAAAATCAACACGTATTTATAGATTTTGATGTACATTATTGTAGGTTAATGTTAGTAGAAAATACAGTCTGTTGATTGGTTGTTAACTGTATCCGCCTGTCCATCTTGACCTTGACCTCAATTACTGTCAACCAATTGGCTAGCAACCATCTCTCACCACAACATGACTTCCTAAATTCATTTATATAATTCTCTTGTTTTTCACTTGATTTGATTGGTAGTATTATTTTCCATATTTAAGGTATGAGTGATGATTCACTCCTATTGCATGTGTTGGGTGTAGATTCGATGAACAAAGATTCAGTAATCAACCTCTCTCTCCACCTACCTAGATTACTTTTTAGAATTTCAACCCTCTCCCACCCCATTGTGTGGTTGTGTGTTAATGCATGCATTGCAATTGCTGACCTTTTCTCTAAATTACTTATCTTCTCGGGGTCAATCATTCTAACCTTAGCTAAATTCTTATGTTCTGACAATCTGACTACCCCTGACCTACTAGTTTGACCTATGTAGTTGACCTCACAGTCATTGCAGGGTATTCTGTAAGTTATATTATTTTGTTTAATTGGGTCAACCTACGCGGTTCTTTAGCCTACAGAGCTTGTCCCTGAGTGAGTTTGTAGGTTTGAATGCCACCCTAATTCCTGCTTTATTAAATAAGAATCCTACGTAGGGTCTCAGATGTCCCCTCTTTATATGGTATAACTGTAGATGACTTATATTCTCTCTTATTTATGTTATTATTACTAGTTTCACAATTCTTTTTAAGCGCGTACTTCAGTTTGTTGAAGTGATATTTTGGATTTCTCCACGAGTTTATTAGTCATCTCCCCTTGTGACCTTGAACCTCGTGATTGGGTGCTTTTGTGTGTTTTCACACCCTCTAGGACCCTTCAAACCTTTAGGAATTGAGGTCGCACAGAAACCAACAAAATCACTTCACTCACCTGGCTCTTTATCAACCAAAAGACTCAACAACGAAAGAAGATAAAAACCAACAACGTCTACAAAATAAATTGTAACAACTACGAAAACCACTACATTGGTCAAAGTGTATGTCCCCTTCGTCTCAATATCCATGATCATAAACTAACCGTCAAAAGACATAACATTCACTCCCTCACTCATATCGCTGCATACAGACAACTATGGACATCAATTCGACTGGGACAACCAACGTTCAAATATTAGACAGGGGAAACACCAAGAATGCTAGAGGATTTTTAGAAGCCAGCCTGGTATTCCAATGAATCGTCAGTCAACAGACACATCGAGATAGACAAAATTTACCAATCGATAAGAAAGAAATCTCACACGCAAAGGGTCAAAGAAACAATCAGTTCCAAATACAAGTAGCCGCCTAGAAGTTGCAAAAACACAAAATCAACCAATCGCGTTCAAGGTCAGGTTACCAGGGGAGATGACTAATAAACTCGTGGAGAAATGCAAAATCTCACTTCAACAAACTGAAGTATGTGCTGAAGATGTTGCCCAGTATGGGGCAATGAAAGCTTCGTAAATAAACTATCCAGCTCAGAGAACACAACCACACTAAAATCATCCACCTGAGCTAAAAATCTTCTCCATCATATCTAAAATCACACAGTTCATATCATATGGTTGGAGGCAATGAATGGAAGCATTGAATGAACCTAGGTTTCGTGCTAGTTGGCACTCAATGGTCAGCAAGGCTTATCTCCAACCTTTTGAAGAAACTCATGTCCCTTCTGAGATTCGAACCTGTGTCACCTAGTGAGAGCTGCAGTCAGAGACGACGTTGCCACTGAGCTGTTCGGGCTGGCTCGTGATTGACCTACTGTAGAACTATCTGTATCGGATACTTTGATTGGACACTAGTTAGCAACTAGTGTTATGTATCCAGTCCTCTGATTTGGTGCAGACTGAATTCTGTCAGTCAAGTTTGCTGACGACCGCCAACTAGCACAAAACCTAGGTCAAGCAATGCTTCCTGCGGTCGACCTCCAACCATCTAATATCAACAATTCACAGTACAGTGTGATGATGAACCACCTAGCGGCATGGTAGCCCAACACTGCAAACTTGACCGGTGGAATTCAATCCGCCCCAAAGACAGAACACTAGACACATATAACACTAGTTACTGACTAGTGTCCAATCGAAATAATCATAGTTCACCCATCAAAAGCCACAGTAAAACAAAAGTTGCATTTTTCGATTTCAAAATTCATTTTTTTTATTCAATCATATGAAAAAACATACTTAGTTAAAAAATCATTTAAAAAATACAAATATATCCAAGAATAAGGGACAACAAAATGATAAATAGTTTTGATATGTCGTTTGTGTTGTATCCTGCAGCGGTAGAATAATACTGCTACTCGCCAACCACACACATACACACACAGAGGTAGGTGGTTAGGGATTCGACTCCCAACCTACACACTCCTCCGATAATCTGACCTAGCCAGTAGATAGTAAGCCCAGAAGATAGGGAAAATATTGATAAACTAATTATATAAGCGCGTTATCTTTTAATGTTTTCAAAAGTGGCGCCTTCAAAATATTTATATATTGAAACATTGAACACAATGTTCAATAGTCAATAACATAAACGGAGACAATACAAAAATAATAATAATGAATAAATAAATAAAAATAAGATTTTTTAAATAAAAAAAGAACAACAACTGAATTTCCCTCCCACTAAATCCAATTCGGTAGGATACAATCCGATCGTTGATTCACATTCACTTGTAAATTATCACAGATATTCGAAGTCAACGGTAAACACGTGAAATAATTACAATATTTGCAATTAATAATAGGCCCCCAGATAAAAATGACAATCAAACCAATGGCTAATAGAATCCAAAGCACAGAGCACAAAATGATCACTAGACATCGACGCTTCCAATGATGTTGAGTATGTAAGGAATGCAGTAAGGAGTATTGTCGCTGTTGATATTGATAAGGTGAGGTAGACGGTGACAATTGGAGATTATGAAGAAGATGGTTAGGCGAAGAAGATGAGTGTTGCTGACGATGATGATGATAATGATGCTTATTTTGATGAATATCATTGAAACTGAAGTTGAATAGTTGAATACTTGGCGTTGTAACACTAGCCGGTGTATTACTACTATTATTATTATTACTATTGATATTAGTACTATCGAATGTTGTTTGATTTACAGAATTAGCAATCGATGTAGCCTGTGATGTTGGGGATGGTAGGAGACCACGAAACGGCAACAGAATAAACGATAGCAATATACCAGATAGAAAACTACCAGCATTTGCATAATTATCAATCCATGGTAACAGACCAAAGGTGAATAAGACAAGAATTAGAAAAAGATTCCGTAGTAGGGCATACCATGGGTGGGTTAAAAATTGCCAACAATATATAAAATCGACTAATGATACGCCGAGAAGTGAGAATTGTGCAGCTGTCGGTCCAGTCTCTACCTGAAAGGATTAAAAATAAAGACAATGGTAAGAAAAACAGTACACATTCTATATAAAATTTTCTTCTTATTCTATCCCGTTGTTATAGGATTTCATCATGAGCTGACATTGGTTAGGGAACCATTGGAAAATCTGGGAGTACTGGACAGCTGTTTCGTCCTAGTTTGGGACTCTTCATCGGTAAGCACACGTCGGGGTTCGAACCCAGGACCTTCTGGTTACAAAGCCAGCGAGCTCGTAGACCATTAAGCCACTGGGACCCGAACCAATGGCCCATGAATTCTGACTTCTGCCAATTCACGATATAGCGCAACCGCTAGCCAATGTCTTCGGCGAGTATTTGTCCTCACACCCAACCTGCTGCACCCTACCGGTCACAACTTCCCACTGGAACCCCAGGTAACTACCTACCTGAATAGGGCCAGTCGCCAGTGAGCATCTCATTAATATTCAAGTATTGGTTTTTTGTAGGGATTTGGTTGATTGGTTACAGGATTTCATCATGAGCTGACACTGGACAAATACTCGCCGAAGACATGGGCTAGTGGTTGCGCTATATAGTGAATTGGCAGAAGTTAGAATTCATGAGCCATTGGATCGGGTCAGATGCCAGTGGCCTAGTGGTCTACGAGCTCGCTAGCCTTGTAACCAGAAGGTCCACGGTTCGAACCCCGATATGTGCGTACTGATGAAGAGTCCCAAACTAGGACTACAGAAACAGCTGTCCAGTACTCCTTGGTTGGTTTTCCAATGGTTCTCTAACCAATGTCAGCTCATGATGAAATCCTGTAACCAATCAACCAAATCCCTACAAACCAATACTTGAATTTCTATCCTGCTGTGTTCTGAGTAGAACTCTTCAAGCTGGAGCTGTGAAGTTTCAGTAGCAGTGGAGTTGCTAATCTCACGCTCAAGCTTCCTTCTTTACAGTGCTTACTATAGCGGGGAGTCGGATCGTAACTACGTGTGTTGGTTAGTGAGCATTCCCCCAAGTGATTCACCGACACACACCCAGCATCTAGAGAACAGATCATTCTGTGGGATTTTAATGAGATTCTCCTACATAACCTTGAGCTCATAGGCAACCCTTGATGTAATGGATAATGATTGAGGGAGAGATGGTGACCTGTTTAGCCATAAGTAAAGTACCAGGTTAGTTAACTTGAAGCCTGATGCTTTGAATTCCTCATATTGTAACAACAGAAGACAAGGACCAAGCAACAGATCGTTTATTGAGAAAATCAACAGATATTTATGTACATTATTGTTATCAGAGAAGCATCGTCTTCTGATTGGTTGTATTCTTGTTCAAGGTTATTCTGTACTGCTTGTGACCGTTTCTCAAAAAGTTAAGCCATATATCTACGAATCGTATTTGCACATGCTGAGTCTGCTGTGATTGGTTGGTGAGTTCCTCAAGGTTAAGCTTTGTTATTGTTTTTTCTCATGACCCCGATTCGGGACGTAAATTGTTGTCTACAATTTTGGTTCGCAGACAGCTCTCACCACAAGATTACATCCGATTCTATCCATGATAATCTCATATCAACCAAAAAGATTTGGATTTCGAGGATGACCGATGTTTCATGCCAAATAAACTCGACGATATACAAGTAAAAGTCATCAAGTTGGCAGAATAATCAAAGAAGACAGAACTTCAAAGGAAGGTACAGATAAGACAGAGTTTATGAAGATAACCAACGACAAGCTCCAATTGTCATTAAAAGGAGAAATCTAAAGAAGGTTATCTTCACAACTTATCTGACCACCATCATCTCCACTACAGGCGCCACAGATGAGCATGTCAAAGCCAGCTATTATCAGAGAAGAAAGACAAGAGTCCATCACTGTGAAATCAGTGTAAGGGACAAGGACGTTGATCTGAGGATGACATGGAAATCATGTGAAAAGAAAATAAATTCTTTTAAGAAAACGTTAAATCAACTGAAAAAGGCATCAATCAAAGCAAGTTATTCCATTTGAATTGTTTTAAACATCTAATTACCTCCTTCATATAACATATATATAACAACTTGTACCCATGTGTACCATTTTTAAATAATTTTTAACCTACTGCCAGGTGTTTCCCGGAAGAAAATAAGAAAAAAATATACAGAGGGTTAATGAAGATCGACTGCTTCAGAGGAGAAACAATACCAAGTAAATACGTGCACGGATAAGTTCCAAGCACAATTGTGTAGTGATGAACTTTAATGATCCACTAAATATCACTTCTTGATGGAGTTGTTTGATACATTGATTGATCTGGGTACTCCATCTCCAACTCATGTGGTGCATGGATTCAAAACCAGCTCCACCTACTGAGGCTTAGTCAGTCAGCCAGCCACGCAGTATCACTAATCCTTATAGACAATAGTTATGTCTCATTCCTAACTGCCTGGAATTGTGCAAGTGGTCGATGTTTGATTGACATTTCACTTTTGTTAATGGTGATTAACATTGGAATTCAGAATACGAGTTTGGCCGTATGTGGGACTCGTCATTTGCATGCACCTCACTCACGGGGTAGGTGTGAGGTACACCCTAAAAACAAATAATCACTTTTATGTAATTTAAATTATTCTCCAAGTTTTTTTAATTATTTATTATTCCATTCAAACAAAATTCGTGTGTTAGTTTGCAAGGATATGATTGGTTTCAGGATTTCATCAGTCAGAGAACCATTGGGACACCAGCTGAGAGTACTGCCAGACAGCTGTTTCTGCGATACTAGTTTAGGACTCTTCATCAGTACGCACCCACCCCACTGGGCTTCGAACCAAGGATCTTCTGGTTACAAGGCCAGCGAGCTCATAAATCCAATGACCACCGCATGAATTCCAACTTCTGCCAATTCATGATAGGGCGTGACTGCCAGCAAATGTCGTCAGAGAACATTAGTCCTCGTACCCGACCAGCTGTACCCCACTGGTCTACGAGCTCGCCTTGTAACCGGAAGGTTCCGGGTTCTAACCCTGGCGGCGAGTGAGTACTGCTGAAGAGTCTAAAACCAGGACTAGAGAAACAGCTATCCAGTACTCCCTGTCTGGTTTTCCAATGCTCCTCTAATCGATATCAGTTCATGATGAAATGCGGAAAATACAAAGTGATCATATAATAACTTACTTGATAGGGTAAAAATATTCCTGAAGTTAAGCTTCCAATACATCCGGATAATATATAAATTAATGCAATACGATGCCATCCAATCATTTTTTCTAAATCACGCATAAATATCATTTGTACACCTAATGATAATATTAGATGCATTACACTATGTGTGAAGCAAAACAGAAAAAAAGCAGAAAGGTAGATAGATCGAGTGAGACAGATGGAAGGAAGGAGAGACACGAAAGCGTTAAAATCCTTGAGAACGAAGGAATCATTTACAACAGAGTAAACATAAATAATAATAATAATAATTCAAGATCATGCTGGATTTTCATCATGGGGAATGGGTGCGGGGACCGACGATCAACTCTTCTCCATTCGATTTCATTGGTTACGGGATTTCATCATCAGCTGACATAGGTTAGAGAACCATTGGAAAACCAGCACGCATTACTGGACAGATCATAAAACATTCAGCCACTCGAACTCGATCCAGTGGCCCATAAATTCCAACTTTTGTCAATTCATCCGTTAGTGATCTCATCTCACCCCCAACTAGGACAGTCCTTCACGTTACCAAACGCGAGTTTATCATTTAGTCACTGGACTTAGAGTTTAATCGTACTTATTTGCATCTTTCAACATGACAATCATCTCTATGTGAGAATCGGTGCAGTTGTACAGCAATAAAGAAATTCGTCAATTCAATGAAAAACCTCAGCCACTTCGTGTTTTCAACGATCAATTTGTTTATTTGTGCTGATTGAATCACACTGCAGCAAACTGAACTTTCAAGAGACAAGAGTGCGGTTGCTGCAATGTAGCGTGATTGTTTATCCCCATATTCTCTCAATACTGTCTCTAATAAATATACCGTTGCACAGATGTAAATATTATATTCTCCCTTCACTGGTTGAGACGGAGTCAAGAGCAGTCTGGCCAACAGATCAGGTGGGCTGAAGAGTCAACAAGTAGTGTGGTTAAAGCACTTGTCTAGTAGGATAGATGGCCACACAACAATCATGAGCGTTATTTTTAGTTGAAGCTGACGGGGAAGACGAGCTCGAAGTCTTTCAAACAGTGTAACTAACCGGCTCCCTAGATAATATTCTGTACAAAATAACATAACTTGATCTCCCTTCTGAATAATCTTCAACCAGAATAGGGCAACAATTGAGTGATCTCTTTATTTCCGATAATTCTTTATCTGCAATCAATTCATAACGACGTATACCCTGAAATCAATTACTGATGTTGGACGGATGTTGCAAGCAATCGGCAAGAAATGTTGAAAAAAGATTTCGTGCTTTTCAGCAGGGTATATATCTGCCAACACAGAGGAACTGATGATCCCGCAAAGTAATTCTGTTCTTGACAGATTTCCTATGCCGAAAAAATTTTACAATTAGAAAAGAAAGCATTGATGGTTCACTAACTGATGAGCTCGCTATGAAGCCAACAGGTCCTCCATTTATTTCAACCTGGGAGCAATTGGATAGTATCATCAACCCTCACACAATAATAAGTATGGCCAATCGAGCTGCAAGCTATCCCATTCTAGGTTCGGGTGCCGCTCCACTTATCTCAACCTGGAGCAATTGACTGTGTAGCTCATAGCGTGAAACATAAAAGACATTACCCGGCTGATAGGAATCGGCTAAAAAAGCGGTCGGATGACCCCGACTGACTGTAAGATTTCATCATCTTTTTCTTACCTCGGTCTTGGTCAAATCATCAACCAATCAGAATGTTTTTTTCTGTAGGCCTAGTCGCATTGCTTACCAATCAGAACAATCTATTTCCACTGCCTTAGGCAGATTTTAATATGCTTAGAAATATGTAAACATGACGTCCTTTTTTCCTAATAAAAGTGTAGCCTAACAGTCACAGGCCAGTCTGTCGCTTAAAATTTACGTGGCTCAGTGAAGTGGAAGGCACCAACGACAAATAGGCATTTTTGATGTATTTGTGTTCTGTGAGCTGGATGGTTTATTTGCGAAGCTTTCATTGCCCTACTAGGCAACACTTTCAGCACATACTTCGATTTCTTGAAGTGAACTTAAAGATTTCTCCACAAGTTTCTTAGTCATCTCTCCTGGTGACCTGGCCTTGAACGTGATTGGCCGCTTTTGTGTTTTCACTACTTGCATTGGTACCAATACAACAACCATTCATGTTCAAGGTCACCAGGAGAGATGAATAATAAACTAGTGGAGAAACCTAAAAATTTCACTTCAACAAACTGACGTATGCGCTGAAGATGTGTGTTGCCTAGTTAGTAGGGGGCAATGAGAGCTTCGCAAATAAACCATCCAGATAGCTCAGAGGACACACGGAATTTCGCGGGACCGGGAGTTTTGGCATATGGGTGCTCATGTTGATCGGGCGTCCACGCTAAGCACGCGCTGATATGGATGACCTGTCGGAGGGCGGGTTGTCCAGGTTGACTAGGGAGGGGCGCACCGGCCCAGGGGGGAAACCCAGCAGGGAAAAGTCCCCGCGTGGTGCAGTAGCGGGATAGCGCCTGTGAATAGTGGCCATGTGACAGCCAGGTCCGCGCGTGGAGACCGCCTCCTCTTTGTGCGTCGGTGGCACAGTGGTTAGGACTCTCGCCGACCATGCACATGGTCTGGGGTTCGATCCCCTGCCGACGCACACCCGATATCTATGGTCTGCCTGCAAAATTTGGACTACCGATATCCATGCTGAAAATTCCATACTTGTACTGAAAATACGGTGTGGAATCAAGCTACAATAAAAGAAAAACACAACTGCATCAAAATCATCCACACCTGAGCTACAAATCTTCTCCATTATATCTACGAATACGTGTATTTAGCATATCAGTTGAGTTGTCCATTGCAAGAGTATTATTATACCCACACGGATAAGTTCACTGAGTCATATCATGAGGTGATATCTATTGGTGATAGGTCTATAACACCGGGTAACTGAGTTTAACATATTTCTAATTAACTCAATATCTGTTCCTTTTTGTTTTAGTTTACTGAAATTATATCATTGTTATTATTATTAGTGATATAATTATTATTATTGTTATCATTTTTAGTGGTGCGTCGGTGGCACAGCGGTTAGGACGCTCGCCAACTATGCACATGGTCCGGGGTTCCACCCCCGGCCGACGCACTCCTTTACCTCACGAAGCCAGAAATAAAGCTGGTGAAGAGGAAAGGTTGGTCATGAGGCTAGCAACCCCATCCTGTAAAAATAAGCACCACTGCTACAGAAACTTCAAGCCACTAGCTTGAAGCCCTATGTTCCACTGGGGAACGTGAGGGAAAAAAATAAATAAAATAAATATTATTATTAATAGTGGTAGTATTCCTTAAGGAAATGATTACATAATCGGTAATCTTACTCACCCAGCATGAACAAACAGTGCGGTGAAAATTCGATAAATTTGATTTGGATATTCGTTGTTTGTAAAAGGTGACATACCACAGATTTGATTTAAACAATTCACCTAAACACCAACAAGGAGAAAAATTTGATTAGGGAAAATAAAAAACGAATTATCAAAATATACACACACACGCACACACACAACGATATATAACTCCACAGGTTATCAAGTACTGGTTTGTAGGGATTTGATTCATTGGAAATCAATGAGATGCACATTAGCGACTGGTCCTATTCAGGTAGGTAATTATCTGGGGTTCCAGTGAGACTTCGTGGCCAGTAGGGTGCAGCAGGTCAGGTGTGAGGACAAATACTCGCCAGCGACGACCTCGGCTAGTGGTCGCGTGAATTGGCAGAAGTTGAAATTCATGGACTAACCAGTGGATCAGGTCCCTGTGGTTTAATAGTCTACGACCTCACTAGCCTTGTAACCAGAAGGTCCTAGGTTCGAACCCTGGTGGTGGGTGCGTACTGATGAAGAGCCTAAAACTAAAACGAGACAGCTGCCTATCCAGTACTCCTTGTGGTTAATTTCCAATGGTTCTCTAACCAACATCAGCTCATGATGAAATCCTTAGATGTCTATTCTGACTGTCTAAGTTTAAATATACAATTTGTATATACAAGTTCAGACACGTTCAATTTGTGTCGCCCTTCAATCCAACAGAAGAAAGATGAAGTACCTAGATTAGCCACCTGCAATCGTATCTGCCGATTCAGCTGCGCTTATGGTGGAGCGAGTTATATTGACCGTTGCTCTAGAAACTTGATTTCTTCTATTCGCTCAGGAATATCTACCAGTATGGCTAAATAAATGTGTAGTGAAAACCACCATCAGTATTTCGATAACAGACCACCTGATTCAAACTGGTAACAAAGCAGCTGGCATTGACGAATCCTTCTCTATCATCTACCGGGTACCAAATAAATTATCAAAAACATCCAGGCACCGCGTACTCCAAACGGTTGAAGCTATTGTTATTCGCCTGAAACAGCCAGGTGCTCTATGTAGAGATGAAACAAGTCCAGCCACTACTACTACTAATACTCTCCTGGCCGGCCTTCGGTGGAGACTATAAATTCATGCATTTGTATTATTATTTCTCTCAATTTCTGTCTGATATTCAGTGTATAGTGCTATGCTGATGCTATCGAACCGTAACCCATTGATCTGATTATTATTGATTCTATATTATTTAAACAACATTGAGAAACATGAGTACTTAATGTATCTGGGAGATTACAGAGAGTGAATGCCATTGTGAATGATTTTCAGGCATGTTGGCAATAATTTCTAGTCATTGAATTCTTAGAGTCTTGAGGATTCCAATCAGGTCGTTCCTAAGTGGATCATAAATCAACAACCAGAGGCGGCACAGACTGATATTAGGTTTCGCTATGAACCCACGTCCTAACTCTTTCTCAACCTAATGCATTGTCAGACAGCCAACGTTGCTCCTAAAGGAAGATGGCACCTTGGTATGCGTAACACGTGTCTTAACCATCTCTTAATTGCTGAAGCTTCACAGCCTCATCGATTGATTCTAACAGTGTACGCCTCTGAATTCAACATTGCTCACCGTATTTTACTATTTGACATGGCGAATAAAACACAAACATCTGTGATCAAAGACAACTAGCCGGTTTTTTCAGGTCTTCCACTTTCAATGGCCATGTTCCAGTAACAACCATAAAAAATGACAAAAAAAGAAGTGCTGAAGAGTGATCGTGAATGTCCCTTATCCAACAACCGGTATCAAATAGGTATTTGGACCAGTTCATTCTCCATTGGTTTTCAAAAGAACCGAACACTCAATGTCGGCCTTTTGGCAAACGCGAAGGGTATATACAATCTCCTATCGTGTGGACGTCCACCTTCAATGAACTCAATTAGCACCAATCCTTGGTATATACACATCCGTAGAAATTAGCACCTAACAAGGCTATGCTGTACATTATTCCAAATCATACTAAAAAGCTTCGAGTAATGGTATGACTCTCAGTTTTAGATACTGATATTGTGGCATGTGCTACTGACACATTTATCAGTAGTATGTATATGAAGAGACGTTTATTGTCACAAAAATATCAAACAGCAGAGAGATAGATTTGACATCAATGAGAGCAAATGAACCAGTGTTACAGCAAAACATGCGAGACACGGAAAGAAAGCAACGAAACAATATATATATATATATATACGGGTGGGAAGCAAGGCGACCGAGCAGCTCTTCAAGCTAGAGATAGTATCCCTAGTCGAAATAAAATAAAATTTTCAAGCATAGGTTTTGTGAGGATTTTGTTTGACTGGCTGGAGGATTTCATCTTGAAGTGACATCAGTTAGAGAACCATTGGAAAACCACACCAGGGAGTACTGGATAGCTGTTTTTGTTGTCCTACTTTGGGACTCTTCAGAAGTACGCAACTACCACCAGGGTTCGAACCCAGGACCTTGCTGTTACAAGGTGAGATCGTAGACCATTAAGCCACTGAGACCCGATCCAATGACCAGTGTATGATTTCTAACTTCTGCCAGTCCCTACAAGACTAATACTTGAAAATTGATCTGATGCTCACTAGCGACTGGCCCTATTCAGGCAGTCAACCTTGGGTTCTAGTGGGAAGCGGTGGCCAGTAAGGTGCAGCAGGTTGAAGGTGAGGCAGTAACTCTTCGAAGAAGGCACTGCGAATTGGTCACACTTTGTTAAGAATTGACAGAAGTTAGAATTCATGGATAATTAGATCGGGTTTTAGGAGCCTAATGATCTACGAGCTCGCCCTGCCCTGGTTTCGATCCCAGGTGGTGGGTGCTAACTGGTGAAGAGTCCCAAACTACAACGAAACGGCTGTCCAGTACTCCCTGGTGGTTTTCCAATGGTTCTGTAACTGATTCAAGCTCATGATGTGGTCCTACAACCAATCATTATAAAAGAAACTTGCCAAAACATCGACACAACACGCATTTGGTGGTGGTGACGGCGATGGGGAGGGGGAGCGGTGGTGAAACAGAATGACAGTGATATCACAACATATGATTAGCAACAAGAAGAAAACAACGAGAGAATAAAAAAGTAAAAGAAATTTTCCCTTTTTACCTGAGAGCATAAAGCAGCTGTTGGATAGTAAAAGCCTCGAACAAAATCACAGTGTTCTTGTGTAGTGATAATACATTCACCTTTAATACCTAGACAGCAGGGATGACCGGTTACTTGACATTCCATATGAGGTGCATAACCACCCATATTAGGCACATTACCAGGCAGCTCACAAATCTAAATTTTTTTTTTTAAAAATAGAGAAAAATTATTACAAAGTGATAAATGATTGGTAAGTGGAATACACACTAAGAGAATAAAGGCTTAAGAATTTATCTAAGGTAAGAATGATTGATCCCACGAGGATAAGTAATTTATAAAAAGAAAACTCAGCTATTGCACTGCATGCATCAACACACAACCACACAATTGGGTGGGTGAGGGTTAAGATTCTAAGAAGTACTCTATGTAGGTGAAGAGAGAGATTGATTACTGAATCCTGTCTGGTTCATTGAGTCTACACCCAACACAACACATGCAATAGAAGTGACTCAACGCAAATACCAGAGATATGGAAGATATTACTATATTATTATTATTGTTCCGTTGGGTTCCTAGTGGAACATAGGGCTTCAACTGCACGTCTCCACTTGCTTCTGTCTTCTGCTGTACTTTTCACTTGCATCCATGTTAGTCCATATTGTTTCAGCTCCTCTTCACACGATCTCCTCCATGTCACCCTTGCACCGACGAACCACTCGCCACTTCCCTTTCGGGTTCCACTCGAGCGTTGGCCTGAAGCCCGATGTCACCCAACGGCCTCCTCAGCCAGTGTCCAATCCATCTCCACTTTCTCTTGCATATTTGTTGGGCGATTGGTTCTTCTTTTGTTTGCTCCCATAGTTTCTTGTTGGTGATTCTTTCCGGCCATCTGATCTTCATTATAGAACGAAGACGGCTGTTGATAAATGTCTGCAACAGGCTGTTGGAAATATTCTTTGTGACCCGCCAAGTTTCTGATCCGTATAGAAGAAGTGACTAACTTGACGTTTGTATTGAAAATCCGAATTTTTTTATTGATGCTGAGTGATGAAGATTTCCAGATTGGTTTCAGGTTGATGAATGTGTTTCTCGCCTTCCCGATTCTCGATTTGACATCCTCGTCCGTTCCTCCTGTGGTTGAGACAATGCTCCCCAGATAAGTGAAAGAAGTAACCTCTTTCAAATCCCTCCCGTTGATGGTGATTGGCGCTGGATGTTGCTGCTGCTGTTGTTGTTGTTGGTTGGTCATTTTCATAACCTCCGTCTTGTCTATGTTCACCTGGATTCCTGTCTTTGCTGCTTCTTTGACCAGTTTGTCGGTTTTCGCTTGTAAGTCTTCGATTTTGTGTGACATCGAACATAAATCATCCACGCGCGAAATCCAGGTCAGCAATTGCACTGCATGCATTAACACACACAATGACATAATAGGGTGGGAGAGGATTAAAACTCTAAGAAGTAATCTATGTGGGTGAAGAGAGAGATTGATTACTGAATCCTGGGTTTATCATCGCGTCTACACCCAACACATGCAACAGAAATGACTCAATGCAAGTACTAGAGATATGGGAGATATTATTACCACCAGTCAGTCAAATCAGAGGAGGATAATAAATAATCTTAAAATTATATTTCAATTCACGTACATTATTACATTCTAACAAGTAACTTATTATGACTATAAAAACACTCGTCTTATTTCCCATCTGATTGTATTTGATTGATAACACTCATAATATTATTTCTGAATGTACATTATCTTATACTGATTTTATTCAAATATCTAATCATCAATTTTTACTCATGTATATAAATAAAGCAAGAAATTTGTGTGTGAGTATTACCTTGATATGATTATGAGTTGCAATAATTTGTGCTTTACACGTAGGCATCAGTTAATATTACTGTATAACACAGTGAGTGATTTTATCAAAATAAAATCTTATCCATAATGGAGAATAAAGGCTGTTTAATATTTGAAAAAAAAAATCGACTGATCAGATTTCAACGTAGAACTTTCCACAGAACTGCACCACTTCAAGTAGCAAACTTCCACATAGCAGACAGAAGCAGAGTAAAAGGAGAGATAAAGGAAATTCAAAGAAACTATGATAAGCAGTCTTTGAGTTTGTGTGTCACTAAACCTAAATGATCTGAGAAATCCACATCGGTCGGTCGGTCGGTTTTCGACATAGAACTTTGCACATATGTACGGCAGTTCAAGTTTCCACACTTCGAGTAGTACACAAAGCAAGAGAAGAAAGTAGGAGAAATGCATAATAGAGACAGTAAACAGAGGTGTGAGGCAAAGGAATAGTAATAACGAAGAACAAAACAGTTTCATTGGAAATCATAAGTCACAAGGAGTGGATGCATCTGCACCAGCCATTGAGAGCGATTTTGAGCCATGTCACCAATTGTTTCCAGCCTTCATTGGTTTTTACCGTCCCGAGGACCTCAACCAGTCAGGAAGTCTACACCTTCCTACGTGGCTTAGACTAACTGTTGTGGATTTCATTGACTGGTGCCATATTTTCGTTTGACCACCGCTAGCTCTTTTCCAGCCTGACCCTTTGTCAGTCAGCTAACATTGACCGTCGAGGAAGGCGATGACTAGGCATACGTAACACATGTCCCAACCATCTCAGTCGATGTAATTTCACAGTCTCGTCTATTGATTTTCCCTCCTAACCTAGCACTCGACGCCTCAACCAAATATTGCTCACCTTATTATACCACTTCACGGGAGATAGAACGCACACACCTATTATCGAAGACAGCTAATCTTTTCATGTCTTCCGTTCTCAATGGCCAAGTCTCACAGCCATAAAGGAGGACGGAGCGGAGTGTTGAGCAGTACACACGCCCTTCGGTTGATACTCGGATATCACGTCTACTTAGCCAGATACGGCGTAAACTGGCATATGCGAAACTAGCCCTCTGTATTCGTTCTGATATTTCGTCAGGTATCAACCCTTTGGGTCTGATGGTACTTCCCAAGTAAGTGAAGCGGTCAACGTGCTCTACCACTTCACTTCCTATTTCTAATCTAGGGGTCGGTGTAGTCCAATCCTGCAGCATCATCTTACACTTTACAGGGGCGAATCGCATGCCAAACATACGAAGATTGTTGCTCAAGGTGCTCAGAAGACTCTGCATTTTATCAGCGTCCTCACCTAGAAGGACTTTGTCATCTGCATATTCTAAGTCAACGAGATTATTCCCTGGTAGCAAGTCAATCCTTGAGTGTCTGAAGTGAGTTAGCGTTAAATCCAAGTCAAAGGCTCGTAGTTAGGGGGTGGGGGTATTGGCCCTTGAATACAACCACCTGCTGCTGCCTGGGTTTTCACATAATAATGATCATAATCATATTAAGCGGCATTTTCACCATTAAGTCGTATAATATATAATACATTAATAAATGAAGCAAAGCCTGAAATCGATTGAACTTACAGGCCATTTAGTAACATCTGTTTCAGACCATGCAAATGCACCACTAGATAGTGGTCGAAGACAAAATGCTGGATCCAGTCCACATACAGGTCCAGCACGACCAATCAGCCGTGTTGGACGTAATGAATGGATAATACTTGATATATTATCAGTGGAATTATCCTCTCTGTAAGAGCTGTTATTCAGTAAATGTGTACGTTTTTCACGCTCTGAAATACTTGTAGACAATTGCTTTGTATTATGCTGTATTATACTGAAACTGTTATCATTATTATTATTATTATCATTGCCATTAGCATCAGTTTCATAATGAAACCATGTGGCAAGTGTACGTGAACAAACATCTCGATGTGTTTGATAACAACCCCCGCCATCATTACGAATACAACAACCAGATCTTCAGAAAGCCAAAATAAAAGCAAAATGGAAAAACCGGACAAATTTTAAGCAAACTTGATAACGAAAGTTTATAAATACTGAAGAATAAATGATATTCCTTTCATTGTGGCGCGTCTTCGACCTATTTGGGACTCACCAGCTGTATATATCTACCCATACTGCCAAGCAATCCAATCCGTCCTCCTTTATGGCTGTGAGACCTAGTCATTGAGAGTGGAAGAAATGAAAAGATTAGCTGTCTTCGATCATAGGTGCCTGCGTTCTATCTTCCGTGTGAAGTGGTATAATAGTGTTAGCAATATTGAGGTTAGGTGTCGAGTGCTAGGTAGGTGGGAGGGGAAATCCATAGATGAGGCTGCGAACTTACATAGACTTAGGTGGTTAGGACATGTGTTATGTATGCATACCTAACCATCGCCTTCCTCGACAATGGGCAGTGTTAGCTGACATAGGGTCAGGCTGGAAAAGAGATAATGGCTGTCAAACCAAAACATGGCACCAATCAATGAAATCGACAACAGTTAGTTTAAGCCATCTACGTAGGAAGGGGTAGACTTCCTGGTTGGTTGAGGTCCTCGGGACGGTAAAAGTCGATGGCTGGAGACAATCGGTGATATGGCTCAAAATTGTTCTCATTGGCTGGTGCAGATGTATCCACTCCTTGTGACTTATAGCGTCCAATGAAACTATATTGTTCTTCCTTATTACTATTCCTTTGTCTCACACCTCTGTTTACTGTCTCTGTTTTGCATTTCTTTGTACTTTCTTCTCTTGCTTTGTGTGCTACAAAGAGGGAGTGTGGCGACTTGAACTGCTGCACATCGGTGCAAAGTTCTATGTCGAAAACAGACAGACAGAAAGACCATGAGATGAACTTATTCCTAAAAATGGCTAGTGAGACGATCACTTTACAAGCTAAACCTCAGTGTAAGAGGTGAAAACAAATTCGAACGGATAACATTTGATCCAAAATGCAGAAAAAAAGATCATCTCAAACTCTAAAAAAAATACGTAATAAATACATAGATCAACTCTAAGCAGAACTTACGCACGATCAAATTTCTTTTGACGTTCAATCACCCGTGAATGCAGCGCTGGATCGAATCGCATACATGGTGGAAATCTTGCACCTAGCCGAATCAAATCTGTCTGCCTTGGTCCTATCCATAAATTTTCATATTCTATCCAACAGACTTGATCAATAGTTAACGTGGGCAATAATACCTTGCCGACTATGCGTGTGGCAATGCCTAACCCGATGGGTGCAAATCCATAGCCGATTGAACCAGCCACAAATATGAATATGTGTACAAAAGTTATCCAATAGGTGAAATAAGGTCTGTATCAATTAGAAAAGACACGTAAAATCGTTAAAAATTCTAGATTTTCTATGAAAATTTTAATTCATTTTAGGATAGATCTTGTCATGGACAGACAACATTTAGAGCATTGGTCTAGGCTCTCGATTTCTAACCAATAAGTCTTGGGTCCAGTCCAAGCCGCGCCTTCACCTGCCAAGATTCGGGCAACTAGGTAGGGACAATAGGTGTGGCTTATCGCCAATTGTTGAGTAACATGCTTCTTTCTTCCAATTACTGAGAATCCCAAGACACTATATCAAGGATTGCTCACGCCATTATTGCACAAAAGGTTTCGAAGGAAAGAGAGGTGCCTACCGATTGGAAGAAAGGCTGATTGCCTTGTCGAACTACCAAAGGAGAGCGACTTAGGCCTCTGCAAGAACTGGCGTGAAATCATATACTCATCCACGCCAAGTAAAATACTAAGATGCACTAGATGCAGAACTCCGCCAGCCAGGAACAAGCTGGATTCAAGAAAGGCAAATCATGGGCTGATCAAGTTGCAACTCTATGCATCGTCATCGAACAAAGTATAGAATGGCAGTCAAACATGTACCTCAACTTCATCGACTTCGAAAAGGCCTTCAACAGACAGTGTTGACAGAGAAATAATTTAGAAACTGCTTCAACACGACGGCGTGCAGTAACCCAAGTATTTATCAACCTCATTCAAAGGCTGGCTATATGACAATGACACGAGCCAGATGTTCCACAACGGAAAACTCAGTGGGGAGGTCGACGTGAATACAGGAGTAAGACAAGACTGGCTGACTATTATCACCGATGATAGTCATAAATGTGATGGACTGGATTGTGCGTCAGACGGTACTTAGGAGTGAGAAGACTGGAGTACGCTGGACCAACAATGAGAAGACTCTAGAAGATATAGATTTCGCGCATGGATGATTTATGTCTAATGTCACACAAACTCGAAGATTTACAGACAGGCGAAAACCAACAAAGTGGCTGAAGAAACTGGTAGGCAGAGAGGCCAGGACTCCAGGTGGACATAGAGAAGACAGGAATGATGAAAGTAATCAACCAACCACGCACCAATAGCAACAACAACCAGCACCAATCACCACCAAAGGGAGAGATTTAACAGAGGTTACTTGCTTCACTTATCTAGGAAGCATCATTTTCTTGAAGTACTTTCAAATGCTAAAAATTACTTTTTAAACGAATCTTTGCCACCCTAATTCAAACTAAACAAGAAAATAATGAATATAGGACATTTTCACGCATAGATCAAATTGCAACACTACGGATCATCAATGAACAGAGTTTGCAATAACAGTCAGCTCTCTACCTTAACTTCATTGACTTTGAAAAGACCTTCGACAGCGCAGCATCGATTAAAAGGTGATTTGGAAACTACTCCGCCACTACCAAGGGGTGCCGCCAACAATTATACATCTCATCCAACAGTTGTACGACAATGCTGCATGCCAGGTAATCCACAACGGGAATCCTCCAAAGTGAAAACGAGAGTAAGACAAACTGGCTGCCTACTATTGCCATTGATTTTCCTGATTGAGGTAGATTGGATAATGCGACAAACAGCGGGCAACGAGGAGACAGGTATAAAATGGACCCACACAAAAAACATGGAGGATCTGGACTTCGCTGATGATATATGTCTCATTTCCCACATACTGGAAGATACGCAATTGAAAAGCAACAAGTTGGCGGTAGAAGAAGCATCCACAGAAGATAGGACTTCAAGTGAACATAGAAAAAACAGAGGTGATGAAGATTCCTGGCCAACTGCAACAACAACAACAGACAACAATCAGCCAGCATAAATGGGAGAAATCTGAAAAAAGCAACCTCCTTAAAACACTTACACGGAAAGCATCGTTTCAACTACAGGCGGACGGAACTGATGAGGATATCAAAGCAAGGATCGGGAAAGCAAGGCAAGCTTTCATCACTCTCAAATCTGTGTGGAGGAGATCAACAGCACTCAGCATCAAAAATAAGTTCCGAATTTTCAACTTTAATCTGAAATCGATGCTACTTACTATACAGACCAGAGACTTGGCCAGCGCGTCACGAAGGGCACTTCGGACAAACTGCAGACATTCATCAACAGCTGCCCTCGCTCAACACTACTCAATATCAGATGGTCGGGCAGAAAAGCTCAGCAACAGGGATCTCTGGCAACCCAGCAGGAACCGATTGTGCAACAAATATGCAGGAAGAAATGGAGTTAGGTGGATTGGCCATACTCTGAGAAAACAAACCACCAAGTGAGTGACATCATACGCCAGGCCATTGCTTGAGTGAAACCCAAATGGGAAGCGGCGAGTTAGTTGGTCGTCAGTGTGAGGGTAGGGTGACATGGAAGAGGTCATGGGAAGAGGAGATGAAAGCATGTGGGCAGACGTGGAGCTAGGTGAAAACGTTGGCGGAGAACTGAACGCAATGGAGACGTGTGGCTGAAGCCCTCTAGGAACTAAAGGAGACAATCATAATATTTAGTAAGACAATCTCATGAAGAAGGCCAGTGTAACTAACCACACACCCGCACACACACTCACAAATCATAAGGGAAATAACCCACCCACCTTCACACTCACCTATACTCTGTGTAATCAGTTGTTTTATTACGAAAAATATCTTCAGTGAAATCATCTTTATGGGGGATAAAAATTGATGATGCCCAATAGGTTGGTGTTAACAGGCTTTCAGTTAAACGTCTTGTACGCGATGGTATTACCACGGGGCTTGGTCGAATATTTGTTGATGACAATGTGACACAAGGTCGTGAACGTCGCTTCTCACCAATCACTTCTCGTACTAAATATATATTTTTTGTAAACAAAAACCCAAAATAAATTATGAGTAAGTTGTGTAGGGGAGAAATATATCTGAAACACCACAGACAGATTGGATTGAAAAATCTTTATGGCAGCTAACTACCACCTTAGCTATGCTTAGCAATTGAAGGTTTAAAAACTTAAGGAATTGAGGTGCCACCTTTCGAAGGCTGATATTTTTATCAATCTTGTGCTTCGTACTCACTTAGTTTGACAATATGAAAATTCTGGTTGACTTTACGACTCTTCACCACGGTGAGCTTGCCCAAGTCGTCCTACTTATGTAACTGTCTCTATAAGAGTAGTTAAATTTGTAAATGCACATTGAAGTGGACGAACTCGGTGGCTTATTCTTCACCTGCTTTGGAATTATGCAATGAGAAGTGAGTTTTAACCATACTGTTGTTGCGGCAAAGAATGTTTTAGCTACTTTTTTTCGGAGTTTCCACGTCAATAATTCATTGGCTACGTCTCTTTTGAATGATGAAGTCATATATACATATACGCATCTGCTGCACAGTTTGCAGGCATTGCACTCTATCTATCTGTTCTCATCATGGAGAATTTAAGTAAATTTTTTGGATATCCGTCCTCCTATAATAAGTTTCCTGCTTTCCTTATTTCACTGTCAAAAGTGACGATTGTGCAGATTTTTCCAGCACGAAACATCAACAAATGTCAGGGGAACAGGCTCTCTGATTACTCTGTATGCTATGTCATATGTATTGTATGAAATGCCTAGGGGGTATATGGCTAATGATTAAAGCACAATAGCGACTTCGGGACTAACTTATTACCAGGTTACAGTCTCATTGACTTGGACTACGATAATGGTTTATTGTCCTTCTAGGTGAAGACGCTAATAAAATAGAGCAGAGTCTTCTGAACACCTCAAACCGAAATCTTAGTATATCCGGCATGCAACTCGCCCTATCTTGTCAATCTTAAGATGATGCTGTATCTATTTACTTAAACGCAGAAAAACTTGGCACAACATGGTACCAAGAAGATGCACCACACAATAATAATAAAACAACATAGATTAAAAGTAAAAGTATATGGGTGGAGAACGGATAAAGAACTTCATCTGGAAGGAAAAGTCATATTTAACAAGTTCAAACAGTATTCGTCAACTATCAACGGGAAGGACAGAAAGAAGGAAATTGCAACACGTTCGCCATTGATTACGATTCTTGGCCATATCCGATAACCTTTCGAGTCATCGATTCGAGCTATCTCGCGGAACCCAACCAGGGAGTCATGACACGCCAACCGATGCTAATCTAGCACAAATATCCTTCATCCCACGACGCCACGTCATAGACTGACCACCCCTCTGCCCTTTCCATCCCGTCCCAGGGCTAGCGAACAGAGACCTGTACGGAAGCCTCTGGGATGACATTTGCAGCACATGTCCAGGTCACCGGAGCCGGTGTTTCCAGATGACAAGACTCAACGAATGGTGATCTCCGCTGTGTTCAAACACACGCCGCCGAACCTCAGAATTACTCACGCGATGATGCCATCGAACGCAAGCAAGCCTACGGAGACAGCGATGATCAAACACGCAGAGCCGCAGCACATCCTCAGGTCGGAGAGGCCAGGTTTCACAAGCGTAGAGAAAGGCAGCCCGCACCGAAGCATTGTATACCCGGTCTTTGACAGACAGGCTAACGTCGCGACGGCGCCAGAAGTGGCTCAAGTTGATGTATGCCACCCCATCCTTCATTATACGGTTGGAAATCTCATCCGTTACCCCTCCAGCACTCACACAACTACCCAGATACCCAAACGTATCGACAACTTCAAGTGGCTCACCCGCAAGAGTGAATGCAGGTACAGGCTCCTGCCAATCTTATAACAGTACTTTGCACTTCGACGGCGCAAAGCATATACCATACTTACAGATACTGATCGCTAACTGATTAAGAGCGATTTGGGCAGCCTGTATGCTATCGCACAGTAAGACGATATCGTCTGTATACTCGAGGTCGAAAAGTCTATCTCCCGGTAGCAGATCTACACCACCTTCACACACATTCTTCAGAGCTGATTCCAGAATGTCATCGATGGCAAAGTTAAAGAGAAATGGAGAGATTGGGCAACCCTGTCTAACCCCAATGTTAGATGATGCTGTAGGACTGGCCCGAATCCAAGTTTAAAGATAGACAGTGAAGTGGTTGAGTGCGTTAATCACTACACTTATTCGGAAAGTTGCATCAGCCATAATGAACCGATTGCTAAAGTATCATTTAATGACATATATATATGAATAGAATTTTAGCACTGTGTGAGCAGAGTATAATTCCATCATGAAATAATTTTATCTGATAAAGAGACGCATCCAGTAACAGAGTATCATATATATTCATCGGGATGACATTTTGAGAACAATTTATCGCTACCCATAATTATCTATCAGGGCCTTAAATAAAAAAGTGACCACCTCACTTAACTGCAAACATCCTTAAAAGTCTATCTATCTGTTTTCCACACAAAACTTTGCACCGATGTGCAGCAGTTAAAGTCGCCACACCCCACTCCATGTAGCACACAAAGCAAGAGAAGAAAGTAGAAGAAATGCAAAATAGAGACAGTAAACATGGATATGAGACAGAAAGAATAGTAATAACGAAGAACGGTATAGTTTCATTGGAAGTTATAAGTCACAAGGAGTGGATGCATCTGCACTGTTGAGAACGATTTTGAGCCGTATAACCAATTGTCTCCAGCCATCGGTTTTTACCGTCTCGACGACTCCAACCAGTCAGGACGTTTACACCTTCTACGTGGCTAAGACTAACTGTTGTCTGTCTGTCTGTCTGTCTGTTTACGACATAGAACTTTGCACATATGTGCGGCAGTTCAAGTCGCCACAATCCATGTAGCACGCAAAGCAAGAGAAGGAAGTAGAAGCAATGCAAAATATAGACAGTAAACAGAGGTGTGAGACAAAGGAATAGTAATAACGGAGAACAAAACAGTTTAACTGGAAATGATAAGTCACAAGGAGTGGATGCATCTGCGCCACTGAGAACGATTTTGAGCCATGTCGCCAATTGTTTCCAACCATTGGTTTTTACCATCCCGAGGGCCCCAACCAGGAAGTCTACATCTTCCTACGTGGCTTAGGTTAACTGTTGTGGATTTCATTGATTGGTGCCATGTTTTGGTTTGACCGCCGCTAGCTCTTTTCCAGCCTGACCCTATATCAGCTAACATTGCCCGTCGAGGAAGGCGATGACTAGGCATACGCAGCACATGTCCTAACCATCTCAGTCGATGCAATTTCACAGTCTCGTCGATTGATTTCCCCGCCTTACCTAGCACTCGACGCCTAACCTCAATATTGCTCACCTTATTATTCCACTTCACGCGGGAGATAGAACGCAGACACCTATGATCGAAGACAGCTAATCTTTTCATGTCTTCTGCTCTCAATGGCCAGGTCTCACAGCCATAAAGGAGGACGGAGCGGACTGTTGAGCAGTACACACGCCCTTTGGTCGATAGTCGGATATCGCGTCTACGCCAGAGACGGCGAAAACTGGCGAATGCGAACCTAGCCCTCTGTATTCGTGCTGAAATTTCGTCGGAGATCAACCCGTTGGGGCTGATGGTACTTCCCAAGTAAGTGAAGCGGTCAACGTGTTCTACCACTTCACTTCCTATTTCTAATCTAGGGGTCGATGAAGTCCAATCCTGCAGCATCATCTTACATTTTATAGGGGCGAATCGCATGCCAAACATGCGGAGGTTGTTGCTCAGGGTGTTCAGTAGACTCTGCATTTTGTCAGAGTCCTCGCCTAGAAGGACTATATCGTCCGCATATTCTAAGTCAACGAGATTCTTCCCTGGTAGCAAGTCGATCCCTGAGTCGCTGAAGTGAGTTAGGGTTAAGTCCATTAGTAAGTCTATGATGAAATTGAATAGGAATGGGGATAATAAGCATCCTTGACGGACGCCACTAGTCGTCACCACTTCAGATGACAACTCGCCATAAGCCCTCACCTGGCTGCATGAGTACGAGTAGAGTGCCTTAATCAGTGCAATGTATTTTCTTGGCATTCCCTTTACAGCCAAGCATCGCCAGAGAACCTCCCGGTCGACGGAATCGAATGCCGCCTTTAGGTCAAGAAATATAATGATTGTCGGACGCCGGTAGGAATGCCTATGTTCTAGAATCTGTCGGAGGGTGAAGATGTGATCAATACACCCTCTACCTGGCCTAAAACCTGCCTGGTTTTCTCGTGTTTGTGTCTCCCGAGCACCACTTAATCTACGCAGTATTATTGAGCCTAGGATTTTAGATACTATATTAGTCAAGCTAATCCCTCTGTGATTATCACAAGACGACTTGTCCCCCTTCTTGTATATCGGGATGATCAGTGACTTACACCAACCCGATGGGACTTCCTCTGATTCCCAGACGCTGCCTAGAACCTCCGTTAACGCAGACAGTAAACTGTCTCCTCCGTACTTAAATACCTCTGGAGTCAATAAATCAGGTCCCGCTGCTTTGCCTAGCTTCAGATTGGTGACAGCTTTAGTAACCTCGGTTAAGGACGGAGGACCTGTGTCTATCTCCCATTCAGGGAGGTGTTGGATGTCCGGTAGGTTAAGTGTGGCTGTGGGCCAATTAAACTGCTCCTCATAGTGTTCTTTCCAACGCTCCAGACGTCTATCCTGGGAGCTAATTATGGTGCCATTTTTCTCGGAGATTGTTTCGCTTATCATTTGTTTTTTACCACCTGTTTCCCTGATAAGCCTGAATAGTTGTCTGGTGTTGCCTATCGCCGATGCTTTTTCCATCTCTTTCGCCTTTGTCAACCACCATTGTTCACGGTCCTTGCGGAGACTTTTCGTAAGTTTCCTCTTGTGCAGCTTTCGCTCCTCATTGAATTCGGAGCTCGCCGGAATAAGTCTTCTGGCATCTATCAGTTCGGATGAGGCAGTCGAAATCCAATGGTTTTTACTCAC